TACATAAAGTACTAAAAGGAGTTACTCTTTCGTGAAATAAAATCTTTAATTACATTACGGAGGTCAAAACGTTTAACTTAACAATGAAATCTTGTTTTTCTTTTCTTTTATTTTTTTTTCTTGTTTTAGTTATTTGTAAAATTAATTAAACCTATTATTATATATTACCTACTACTATTATAACTACATATATAGTGAACTTATTTCTAATGTCTTCTAAATCTTATATACATTCTTATATAATGTAAACTTTAACATTTTTAAAGGTAAGAAACAAAGAAAGTAAAGAGTTGTCTACGAAAGAATTATTAAGATTTGAGACAGATATTACTGGGTACAGAGGAATAACACCCGAGTCCTCAGGAATGGCAACCCATTGGGGGTATCATGGGCGAAACAGTATACTCTGTTATGTCCATGGTACTGCTCATGTCTGTAGGCGACGGTTACCACTTTCCATCAGGTGGGCCGTCAGCATGTTTGCAATTCTAAGTTGTATAAAAAAAAACTAAAACAAATACTTTTTTATTTTCGTTATTTGCTCTAAAAATATTATGTCTACCTATGTAGAATGAATGAGAGAATTAAGAAATTTAATGAAAACTATATAATTGTTCCCTTCAAAGTCTGATACAGGTTACGAAGATTAACAATGTGTACACAAAAACAAAAAATACATAAATGGAGGATAAAGAGGCAACAACAGGCGACCTTGTAGCTAAAAAACGATCTCTTCCATACAACCTTAGGATGGAGAGGAATAATTGCAATTATGTTTGTAAAATAATGAAATATTTTCATGTCCCCGAAAGGAACCCCATAATATTTAATGTAGTACAGCCTGGTAGCGTTGTCTGGTATTCTGTCAGCCTTGTCTGACTTTATTATTGTATTTGCTTTTTGTTCTTTATTTTCGCGTACAAAAACTAACAACATCCAGTTGGGCATTGTTTAAACTGGATGTAGATTAATATTTCTTATCTAATTACCAAAAGACAATTGAACAATGACATTATTTTATTTTCAACAAGTTAAATTTATCTTCGTACATTAATAACATGAAATACTGTTCCTTAAAAAAAAACATTTAAACATAAACAGGTGGTCGACCATGAAATGAAATTCCGAAATTTCGGGCCCAATTTCGTGTTTTTGTTCGTATCAAAATCGCGCCAGTAAATGGAACTTAACGTTTCGTTCATCATAAATCCTATTCTAATAGTCCAATGGAACGATATTTTAACATTTAATAATTTTAAACGGCATGTATTATGTAAATTTAACATCAAATTTCTGTTTCGTTCGTCCCCGAATTTTCGGAAAATACTTCATGATAGGCCCTCAAATTAGAAATGTATTTTTATTATTTATTTATTATTATTTCTTACCATAAACAATTTAGAACTTAATATCTATAACTTGCAAAACATTTTAACAATGTAATTTGTGGGAACTGGTGCCTGTACTAGGTGTTAAACCTGTATTACAAGTCACTAGGACCCTTACCCCGAACAGAAAATCACCACGAGAAGCACTATCAATAATAATTGTTGAATAAATTATAAATAGATAAAAAAAAACTGTTTCACTTGTTGTGGTTTGCTGGATTAAATAAACACTTTTAATTATTTTTATTTTTCGGTTCATATTTTTATTATTAACTTTTAATTTATAAGAATCATATCGTCATATCAGGTATTAACTGTCCACTGCTGAACATAAGTATCCCACATAAGGAGGGTCTTGCCAGTAGTTGCCACGATTAGTAGGCGGGTTTTTTTTTTTTAATTGATGATAATATAATGGCAATCCCGCCTGCGCTATCGGTATACACCGGCGGGGCACCAGTGAGGGATGACAGGTGAGAATGAAGCAGGTCAGTTAGCCCATTCTGACAAATTCAACAACGAATCAATCATGATGGTTTCCAAGGGGAACCGCGTGGAGGTCGACCTAATAGGGTTTATTGCTAGCAATGAGGTTGCTAATCCCCATTACTAACAATCCCTTCTCCCCCCTAGTAGGCGGGTTAGCAACCGCAGTTAGGATTTGGCAGTGTTTTAAAAGGGACGCTGCTGCCCATCCCTTGCCCTCACTTAGTCGGCTCTTACGACACCCGCGGGAAAGGAAGGGGTGGCCCATTCTATGCTGGGACCACACGACGATTTAATTCATAAATAAATATAATATTAATAAAATATTTTTATTACTATTTTTTGATCATTGTTAAGTGTTTTCGTAAATAGCTAAAATAATTAATACGAAAAGCGTGTATATTATAAATAAATGACAAAATGAATCGCTAAAATCAGTTCATGCTTGCTGACATAATCGTGTAACATAGTCACAATAAAATTTATACAACTTGAGAATCTTTGCCTTTTGAGAGTCACTTAAAAACACATTAATCACCAGGTAAATGTTTATAAACTATTGTAAAGAGAAATTATTTATAAGATTCTTTATTTCTAATACTTAAACTGAAAAAAAAATTCTAAAAAGACAATTTTAATTTTTTTTCTTTCATAGAAAGTTACATTATTAGCAAGTAATATGGATAGTAATTTATATTCAAAACCCATACGAATCCGGGGCCAATTACTAATGTTATAATTGTCTAATTTAATTTATCATCCGTACCTACACTCACTTGGCTATTAACATTGGAAAGGCTTACGATACGAACGTTTTGCAACATTTTATTAGTTTTACCAAGTTGTCTCGCGGTCTGATCACTGATGCAATCTTATATGCACTTGTGAGTTGCCGCTAGAACTTCTACTGTTAAAAAACCTATTACTTATTTACTAAACTCAATATGTAATTAACTCAATAACTTACAATGTAACATAAATTATACTTCTCAATATAATCAATTAAACAATACATTAAATTCTTTATTTGGCAGACAGCAGACGATACTATACCTAAATATAAAAAGTACCATTGTATTTTATTTATTTATTAAATACAATAAATTTACAACAGCGAGTACATTGGAGCCCGCACTAGGCGAATCTGTATCGCGGGAGTCCTTAAGATATTACCAAGACACGGTGATTTACAAATAAATTTATATTGTATTTATTCATATCCATATATAGGTTTTTAAATGGATGATAATGGAATGGTAACTCCGTCTGCATTATCGGTATAACTTGCGGGGCAGCAGTAAAGGCTGACAGGCGATGATGAAGCAGCTAAGTTAGCCCATCGTGATGAAATCAACAAGAATTAATAGAGGAAATTTCAAATATATAGTTTACTAATAAGAATTACAATCTGAATGTATTTTCATTTTAACTCAACAAACTCAATAAAAGTCGATTGCTTGGGTACCTCTGTCCCATTCGTGTTTCAACCGTGAAGCAGTTGTGTTTACATGGCTGTGTTTCGGTTTGAAGGGTGGATATGGCGTGAATTTACTGGGTACAGAGGAATAACACCTGAGTCCTCAGGAATGGCAACGCATGGGGGGTATCATGGGCGAAACAGTATACTCTGTTATGTCCATGGTACTGCTCATGTCTATAGGCGACGGTTACCACTTTCCATCAGGTAGGCCGTCAGCTTATTTGCCATTCTAAGTTGTATAAAAAAATACATAAGTGGTTATCTACTTTTGAAATCCACGCATACAAAGTTGCAGACAAAAGTTAGTTCAAAACAAATTTATAAATAAAAAATCACATAAATTGTAACAGTGACACTCAAAAATAAATAAAGTACATTAAATAATGTAATGCAAATCATTTGTACACGAAATTAGGCTAATCGCCCGGCGTCACGGCGAAATGCCGTAACAGATGCGCGCGCGCATATTGTCCGCTACGTGGATTATCTCATCTCATTGACGGGCCCATTGTTTCACCACAATGGCCGACATGCTGATATCATAATTAGGATTTACAAATGTCATTCGGCGTAACTAGATTACTATCGAGATGTATTTAGTCGGTATACAAAAAAAAAAAAACAATGTTTTTTATCTTTTTTTCGCTATACTTATTTGTTTAAACTTTATTGACCAATAAAATGTGATAAAAAAACGGACTTAATACTATAGGCATTTTCTACCAGTCAACCTTAATTTTTTTTTATACAACTTAGAATATATATATATATATATATATATATATATATATATATATATATATATATATAGACATGAGCAGTACCATGGACATAACAGAGTATATATGTTTCACCCATGATATATATGCGTTGCCATTTCTGAGGACTCAGATGTTATTCCTCTGTACCCAGTAAATTCACTGCCATATCCCACCCTTCAAACCGAAACACAGCCATGCAAACACAACTGCTTCACAGAGTGCAGAGACTCGACGGCGGTTTAAAAAAAAATAACACTTATTCATCATACCAGGTATGAATCTTCCACTGTTGGATATTAGATCTCCTCCTATTTTTTAATAATAATTCATTTAATACAGCCATTCCTGAGAACTCAAGTGTTATTAGATGAGGATATAATTATATTACCTATTACCTAGTAACTAGGTTTTATTTTAAATATCTTGCTTTTACGTTCCCCGAAATAACTTTCACGTGCGTATTAAAGTACGTGTAGATTAAAAAATCTACTAATCTTTATAGAAGACTAGCTATTACTAGCGACTTCTCATATAGTACGTGTAATTTTTTATAGTGATATTTTCAAATTTCATTTCATCAACGCCTTAACCAAAATAGGGCGTTCAAGCGCTATAAGATAACAAACAAAGTAATTTTAGCTTAGAATAAGAGCTTAGAGTCTTGGCACAAATATATATATATATATATATATATATATATATATATATATATATATATATATATATATATATATATATTTATAAATAATAATAATAAATTGTACTAATGAATAAATAAATTAATATTTTCAGTATGGTTCCATAGAGAAATTTTATCAAAAATAATACAATGATGAATTATTTGTGTAATATATTCTTAAGTTAATGTTTCATTTTTCGTTGCAGGTGAAAGATGTGGACGCCGAGAGCCATCATTCCGGGAAACTGCCGGACAGTAAACTTGAAGAGAAGTTGTAAGTGTTGGAGTTATTTATTAATCTTGTTGTAGTTGTTTATACTCGGGTCACAAAGGTAATTGCCTTTATGCAATGAAGTACACAGCAAAAGTGACAGAAAAAGTGAAATGAAATATTTGAATTTAAATACAAAATTAACAGCTTGTTGCGCCGTGTTAGTATGAGAGGGTCAAAAATATTTATATAATTTACCAATCTATGTTGTTTAGTGGCGCACAATATCAATTGAAGAACGCTGAATACTCCTTTAAAATAATACTATTTATTAATAATAAACAAACATAAAAAATGCAATCGAATTAAGAACCTCCTTTCTTGAAGTCGGTTGAAAAAGATATAATTCATCTATAATTCTTACAATGAGTTATTTTATTATGTCTCGGATAAGTGACACCGGCGCTGAAATGTAGGAAGCGGCGCGGTGTGGTGGACCACATCGTTAGAGTCGCGGTGCATCGTTCCGACCCGCGGCGTTGTGCAATCGAGATTGCATCGCCGCCGCAGCTGGTGTGCGAACATTCATTTAACGGATTAACCGAACACTAATTAAAGTAAAGTTGACGATTAAAATCGCTGACTAATTTAATTAAATGTCTGGCAGGGGGAAGCACAAAAGATCCCGATGGGTCGACGTGCAACGGCTTAGCTAACCCCGTATCCGAATATAACTAAATGTCTCTAAATACTCGGTAAATTTAAAATTTTATTTATATCGATCAGCCTTTAACAGTTCACTGGTCAACATAAGCCTCCCCCTTCGGGGCTTTTCCAGTAGTTGCCACGTTCGGCAGGCGGATCGGTAACCGAAGTTAGGCCTTGTAAATGTTTTAAGAGAGACGCTGCTGCCCATCCCTTGCCCTCCCTTAGTCGCAAAAACTATACAATATTCCTTGTGGGTAGTAAAATAAAGACTATTATTATTAAATATATTTTTTTTTTCAATTAAGAATTTAATTAGTACCATATTGAGTAGGACATACAGAGTTCAAAAGTGAATAAATAAACGCACATATTTCTGGGTAATTTGCGCCATAATTCCAGGTAGGTTGTAATTGAAGCATGGGAAATGTAGGCAATTAGAAATATGTATTCGAAACTAAACAATGGCCGGACAAAAACTGCGACACAAACGATTGACAAGTTTCCGATGCAGTTGACGTTTAGGGGTCTGCACGTTTAGTTGTTGGAACAAATCGAACATTAAAGTATTCTAGGGTTCGGTATTTTAAAAAGAAAATCCACAAAAAGTTAAATGGAAAAGTATAAATTTGTGGTACAAAAAAAAAATAACAATTATTGGGGCATGTGTGTGTTGGTTTGCCCTTGCAGATTGGGCAATTCCAAGTTTACTTTACTAGGTTTTCAGTAATAACGTATTTGTTCTTGATTCAAGTATAATTTTAATACGCAAGCATTGAAATATATGTTTACAATATGTTTTTTATATAAGTATGAAAGGAAGAGGTGACGGTACATATAATCCAGTAAAATATGACGAATGACTTGAAGGTAGCTGCTGGTTGAAAGGTTGTCGCAATTTGCTCCACACTTCACGATCCTTGCAGCAACCATCTTATCTTATATTCGCATATGGGGTCAGCTAAGCCGTTGCACGTCGACCCATCGAGATCTTCTGTGTTTCCCCCTGCCTTATACCATCATTTCATAGATCTTATGTGTTACCCTAACGATATCCCGCGGTTTAAGATATCTGTAATCCCCTGGCTCTGGATAAGCTGTGCAGCAACCATAGATTATGCAGTAATAACAATACTTTTTAATAAAATAAAAAAAAAAAACCAAAAAGGTGAGCCGAATACGATGATCACACTGATAGATGGAGTAAACATTGTCGTTTCCAAAAAATTCGTCAAAATTTGATCCGAATTGGAAGAAATATCGCATAACATAGTAAAAAAAAAAAACATACAGATGAATTGAAAGATTCTTCTTTTTTAAAGTTGATTAGAAATAATAATATCGTAAGTAATTCACTAACAGCATTTTATACAATAAAAGATTACAGGCTGTTCCATAAGAAGCCAAATTTAGTTTAAATTAACATTGGATTCATTTAGAGTGTCTATATAAAATCAGTAATAATCAATCGATTCATTCTATCAATCAATCGATATTTTATTAATACATCAGCAATCATCAACTTCTTGATGTCCAGTATGATTGAATCATCATGGTCGTGTTCATTATTACCTTGCTTGAACTTTCGTTAAGCTTTGCTGAAACAGCAGTTGACTTACTTGTTAATATAATCCATTTAATACTATATAGTTAAAGCTAGATAATTTAAAATTAAATGAATATTAAATAAAATTCCAAATATTTTTTTAAATTAAATAAAAAACAGAAATCACATTAGTATCATGATATTACTACGATAATATTTTACATCGACACGTTATATGTACTTGTAACTAAGTTGTACATAGTTACGTGACTGCAGGAAATTGATGGATTAGATACGTTTATAAAATTAATATACTTACATGCACAATCGGTTACGGAACCCAAGTTGTAATACACGCGACGCTCTTTCCACATTTTTCATCTTTTAGCTTTCCTGATTTTTTTTTTACTTCTAAGGTGGCAAACAAGTATATGGCCCACCTGATGGTAAACGGTTAATGTTGCCTAGTAACGTATTTTTTTTTAATGGGTGATAATGGAATGGTAACCCCACCCGCGCTATCGGTATACACCGGCGGGGCACCAGTGAAGGATGATAGGTGAGAATGAAGCAGGTCAGTTAGCCCATCGTGACGAATTCAACAAGAATTGTTCACGATGGTTTCCAGGGGGAACCACGTGGAGGTCGACCCGATAGGGCATATTGCTAGCGATGTCGAACTCGATTGCTAACAATCCCTTTCCCCCCCTATCAGAGGTATTATGCGGGCATTGCTGACCCTGAAGAAATCTCTTTATACCCCTTTTGAAGAATACAAAGCTGTAGTCTCTTGGGAAAACCTTGGCAGGAAGTTCATTCCATAACCTGAGTGTTAGTGTGAGAAAACATCTCTGAAACCGCGTTGTACGCGACCATTTAGGCTGTTCTTTATATTAGACCTATACTATTATTACAATCTTAATCTAATCTTATCTGTAATAATTTTTTTTTGCAACTTAGAATGGCAAACAAGCTGACGGCCCACCTGATGGAAAGTGGTAACCGTCGCCTATAAAATGGTGGTTTTATATCATTATGCTTACGGTTAGTGATGCGCATGCGCAAAAATTGCACTAATAATTATTGGTGAATACCATATACATAATATATTACTTTGTATTTTATTCGTCATTTTTTTTTCGTTCCTCTTGTTTGTTCATATTTTTTTTTTGTTAACTCCCATTTTTATTGCTTTGTGTACAGCGCCTTGTATCTATATTGTTGCTACTTGTGAAAACCTATTAGTGGCTTATTTTGTGATCCTAAACTGTATCTTTTTGCTCTAGTGTAGCCCTATATATATATATATAATATATATATATATATATATATATATATATATATATATATATATATATATATATATATATATATATATATATATATATATATATATATATATATATATATATATATATATATATATATATATATATATATATATATATATATATATATAACCAGATCGTGTATAAAATTTTATTCAAATCCATTCAATAGTTTTTGCGTGAAAAAGTAATAAACACGTATTCATAAACTTTCGCGTTCATGTTATTAGTAGTATGTGTGAGACATTTGGCAATTTACTACATAGTTGCAAATTCATATAAAAATAATTAAAATATGAAAATCGTACCTCAAATATATCAAATCTTGTTCGCTTCGAATTTTTTTCAATCGCTCAATTATTTTTCAATGTAATACCTACCGGTTTAACTTAAATGTAATAAGATCGAGAAAGCTCGACTAGTTGCGGGATCAATTCGGAACCATTAATCATAAGCAGCAATGATGCCAATACAAGCAATTATTATTTGAATATGATGGTCATATTTTAATAACATTGATATACCAGAGGGAGACTTTGTACAAAAGTCGATTGGTGAAGTCGAAGGGTGATAAAGGCGTGAATTTATTGGGTACAGAGGAGTAAATTTATACACCTAAGTCCTCAGGAATGGCAACGCATGGGGGGTATCATGGGCGAAACAGTATACTCTGTTATGTCTATGGTACTGCTCATGTTTATAGGCGACGGTTACCACTTTACATCAGATGGGCCGTCAGCTTGTTTGCCATTCTAAGTTGTATAAAAAAAAAATCAATAACTTAGGTATTTTTATACTTAACACAGGCCTTGCTTAGAAGTCGTGACGGCGGTGATATTACTGCTTATTATCTAAAATATCATCCCAGTATGAGGAACGTTTCCGCTCCGCAAACAATTTAAATATCCTAGACACAGTCGTGAAATGTAGGCCATGTTGTCGGAAGCTGTTTTGAATAGATAGTCGAGCCTGTAAGGTCGTTTGACTCGGTACTTACTTGCTATAAACCCATGGCTTTCCATCTGCGTGCGTTAATTTCATATTGTTGTAAATTCAAATAGAGATTTTAGTGAAGCATAAGCTCGGCAGGGAGCTCGTTCCAAAGCCTGAGGGTTGGCGAGAGAAAGTATTTCTGACATTCTCTTCTTGTAGGAAGTGTATATACAGAGGCGGACATTGAATTTCTGAAATGACGATGAGCCAATAATCAAAATAATTGAACACGACTGCGACAAGACGTTACGAAGATTAATATATCCTATAATGATGCATCTCGCGCTCACAATGCAATAAATTTTGCATATAATTGCTGGTACACGCCCGATCGTCACTTTATCCACGTGACTGTATGTGGCAACCATTAACACCGATATTTATTTATTTATTTAAAAAAAATTTATAACATAGTAATATGGCCAGTAACAGGTTTTTTTTTAAATTAAATTCTGTAGATTATGTAATTATTATATGAAGATTACTACTAA